TGGTTTGAGACTACATTTGGGTAAATTGAACCCAATTCTCCCTGCTCTGGAGTTACTCAACATTAAAAGAAACATTACAGAGCAGTAGGAGTCCCTCTCCTAACTTAAGTCTATCCAGTTGTTTGTAACGTAGTCCTCGGGTGTATATGTGTTTGGGGGGAACGTCCTTAAAGTCAGGGGCCCCTGTAATATTGTTCTTTGATTTCTCATAATCACCTGGACTTGACAAGAATCAGGTTCAGCACCGAAGTGTCATCAGGACTTGCAGGCACCTGGTTTTCTCTGGGCCTGGATTCTTGCTGGTCCAGCAAGCCAGGAGGAGTGGCTGTGGCAGGAACATGAGTCCTGTGGGATGGCCATGGAAGGGACCCTGTCTCCATGCCTTCCGTCTCCCAGGCACACACTGCTTTAGTCATCAGCTTTGTCCCTGTCACCCACTCCCCTTCTGTGTTCCAGGGGCCTAATTCCTATCCCTCCAAAACCTTTCACAGGCACTAGGCCATTTCACTCTTTTTTTTCTCCCATTGGGGAGCACAGGCTCTGGACGCGCAGGCTCAGCGGCCATGGCTCACGGGCCCAGCCACTCCGCGGCATGTGGGATCTTCCCGGACCCGGGCACGAACCCGTGTCCCCTGCATAGGCAGGTGGACTCTCAACCACTGCGCCACCAGGGAAGCCCCATTCCACTCTTAAAGCAGACCTACAACGAAAAAGACATGGTAGATATTTTTATCCCCATTTCACAGAAGGAAAAGGGGCTCAGAGATTTGCTAAATGCCCCAGAATCAGTGAGCTAAGTGAGAGGGTAAGCGCAAGAACCAAGATTTTTAAAAACTTCTTGCTCCAGTTCCTCTGTCTCATGTGCCTCCCGAGCGAACTGTTGCACTTCTTCACTTGAGTTTCCTATATTGAGCGTGTGTTCAAGTGGTTTTCCCTGGAAAGGTGGTCTGTTTCTCTGGAAAGATTTGTTTCTATTGTGGTGTACTTGCATTATGGAGACTAGCAGGTTACTACTGGAAGAGTCTAGAACATGAAACAAGTATCGTGGAGATCAGTGGGCCCAAAATGCTTGATTTTCCAGATGTGGCCCAGAGAAGTCAAGCCATTTGCCCAAGGTCACACAGCCAGTTCTCAGCAAAACCAGTTGTGCAGATTCCCAGTCTCACGCCCCTTGCTTTCCACCAGGCCCCGTGACTCTGCTCTGTAGGGCCCTTGGTTCTGTCACCAGAGAGAGGGGGGTAGAGACCGCAGGGAGGGCAGGAAGCAGTTGGTTTGTGTCACTCACAGCTGCTCATTTGGCTGCGCCTGTCTTTTGCTCCTTTGCCCCGTCTCTCCTCACCATTTTCCCAGTCCTGAGCCAGCAGCCATGTCTGCCTCCTGGCCGAGGGGCCAGGGTTTGTAAGCCAGGGGGCCACTCCTCTGTTCATCGCAATGAGGCGGAGGGGGGTCCTTCCCGCCCTGGGGGAGGGCTAGCTCTGGTGGGCTGGAGAGAAGGCACTCCAAAGGGGGGAAATTTGGGGTGGGAGCCATGGAACTGGATTAATTCTGCGGATCCAGGGGACTGGGAAATAAATCATGTTTTAAAAAGGCTTTTTTTTTTAAAGACAGGCTCGTTTCTGGTCCGCTTCCCATTTTCCTTTGGAAAGAGGGAAGGCCTGCTTATTGGGGGGGGGGGGGGGGGGGGGGCATGAGTTCAGCTTGTTCCACATTTAGGAGTGGGGGCTCGGTTTCCAGAGGCTGAGGGATCTTTTCCTGTCTGCCCTCCCTGGCCTGCCCAAATGCCCAAAGCCAAAAGGCCCAGAAGGGCATCGGACCCTTCAAGATGACTGTTGAAAAAACCAACCAAGCAGCAAAGGCCTCGGGAGCATTTAGTCCACATGGGCCAACAGCCTCCACTTCTCTCCCCTGGGGATTTGGAGCAGCTCCCCTTCTCTGACAACCTCATCTCCCAGCCTTGGGTCTGGCAAACCACTGCCCACAGGCCAAGCCCAGCTCACCATGTGTTTTTTTTTAAATTTATTTAATTAATTAATTTATTTTTGGCTGCATTGGGTCTCCGTTGCTGCGTGCAGGCTTTCTCTAGTTGCGGCGAGCGGGGGCTACTCTTCGTTGGGGTGCGCGGGCCTCTCAGTGCGGCAGCTTCTCTTGTTGCGGAGCACGGGTGCATGGGCTTCAGTAGTTGTGGCACGCAGGCCCAGCAGTTGTGGTGCACGGGCTTAGTTGCTCCACGGCATGTGGGATCTTCCCAGACCAGGGCTCGAACCCGCGTCCCCTGCATTGGCAGGCGGATTCTTAACCACTGCGTCACCAGGGAAACCCCAACCATGTGATTTTGTAAGTAAAGTTTTATTGGCACACAGCTCGTTCATTCCTCTACGGATTGTAACAGCAGAGGTAAATAGTCTCGACAGAGACCACGTGGCCCACAAAGCCTAAAATATTGACTCTCTGGCCCTTCACAGGAAGTCCATCGACCCCTGTTTTAGCAGAACACATCTTCCTGGGTCCTCCAGGCCCAGGCCAAATGAATTCCCTTGGCTCACTGATGGACATTAGCACTTCCCAAAACATTTCCTTCCGAAGAACCCGAAGCAAAGTGTACAAAGTAACGAAGCCAGCAGAGATGGAGAGAGGTGTGGGCGACCTCTTAGTTGGCTCAGCCCAGGGCTGGGTGCGGCCAGATGGTGTTGGGATGGGTCTGGCGTTAGGCCTGCCCAGGGGCGTTAGGATGGCCTTGCTGGGTGGCAGCCACTTGGCTACGTTTGGGGCACAGCATCAAGGAGTCACAACCCCAGCAAGATCTGGCACCAGACAGAGAAGCCCCACATTCTGAACTGAGACCCCCTCACCTCAACCACAGCAGTTGAAAGCCTCGGAGTGTGTCTGCTTTGTCTCGGCCCTGCCAGGGCATGAAAGCTGGGCCAGCATGGCTCCTGCTGTCCCAGGAGGCTTCTGGCTGCCAGGCCTGGTCAGAGACTCTGGCCACAGGATGCCTGTCTGTGGGGGTAGTCCCCCAGAATCCCTTTACCCGCAATTCCAGCTGACCCAGTGTCTGTGGGAAGCATCTCTGTGCGCCAGCATTTTCTTGATGCGTCTAGTATTGAAATGCCATCTGGTTCTCGTCCTTGCAACTCCAGGAGCCTGATTTTCCTGCTGCCCCCAGAGCTGATTGAACCAAGCCCATGGGATATGCCCAGGGAAGAGGTTCAGAGAGGTTAAGTAACTTTATCAAAGGGGCAGAGCCTGGACTTGAATCCAGACAGACTCCAGAGGCCGCGCCACACCTCTCCAGCGGATCCCCACTCTGTTGGTTTACAGTGAGCACTGGAAGGGCCAGGCTTCCCAGGTCTACATGGTGAGCCAGCCTGCAACTGGAAGGTGGCTTGCTGAGCGAGGGAGAGTTAGGTGCTTTAAATGGTGAGCGACATCAGACTGAGGCCTGAAGCCTGTGTCACCACAAGAGATGAACACTGTACTAGCTGCGTGACCTGGACCAAGTTACTTAACTTCTGGTTCAGAGTCTTCACCTGCAAAATGGAGGGAGTTCCTTATCACTGTAGGTTTATCATGAAAAACAGATGAGTTACTATATGTAAGTGCTCAGCACAATGCTTGGTGTACAGTAGATGTTGTATAAATGTTGCTGCTGTGATGATTACCATTACTATCTATCAGGCCAGGCCGCTCTCCTGGCCAACACCAGGCAAGCAGCCCAAGGGCTTGCCTCTCAGACTTGCATCTCCACGGTTCCTTCTCGCTGTAGCCACTGTAGCCAACGCTGTTCTCCTTTGGAGGCAGTGAGCAGTTCAGCAGAGGAAGCACCAGTTGGGGTGTCCCAGACCTGGTTCCATTTCTGGCTCTGCTACTCTGGCCTCTTGGGAACTTGGGCCAGTTCCTTCCCCTGTCTAAGCTCAGATTCCACCCCTGTAAAATGGGGCAAAAGGTGTGTTCCCAGCTCAAGGACCTGGGTGTAAATGAGCCACTGTTCACTGTAGGTAAACTGTCAGCATTACATGTTGACCCTCTGATATTCTAGAAATGTCCACACCATTGATTAGGCTAAGAGCTTTTTGCCTCATAATGTTACCATAACACATCTCATGATCTTAAGTTGTTTTAGGTGCTTTGACATTGTTCCCCCCTCTCGGCAGGAAGACAACTTTTAACCTCATTTCACAGATGAGGAACCTGGGGCCCAGATCACACATGGCTGTCTGAGCCTGGACGAGAGCCCTCGTTTCTTCTGGTCACTAAAGGTCCCCGTTCTTCTGGGTTGGAGTTGGGGTGTGAGACTTTTTAAAATGAGGCTTCCTTCCATTTTGCCAGGGCCTGTCTGTCTTCCTCAATGCTTAGGGCTGGGCAAGACATTGAGGCCCAGTGGTGCGGTGGCTGGAGACTGGCCTTGGGCTCCCCGACCTGACGTTTAAGGTTCCAGGCCCACGCTGCTGAGCGTGCTGGCCTGGTGAGGATCACGGCCAGCCACCCACATGGCCAGAGAGGAAGGTCCGGGCTGCCTTCTCCAGGGCAGCGATAACCCACGGGCCCTGTTCCAGACCCGGATCGTGTAGGATTCTCTGTGCTCCAGAGGATTCCTGCGTTTTGCAGACACCTCATTATCCCCGTCCTGGCCAGCAGTGTCCCAGCTCCTCTGTAATCACTCAGGCCCACGCCCAGCAGCACTTCCAGGGCCAGGAAATCACTCCCCTCCCTTCCCCTCCCCTCCCCTCCCTTCCCCTCCCCTCCCCTCCCTTCCCCTCC